GAAGCCCCCCGAAGCTCAAGGGGTACGGGCCAGGCGCGGGGTGCAGGTGCAGGTGCAGGGAGGGGCGAATTTCCCCCTCCATCCTCCGCGAAACTCGGAAGCTTTGACGTTTCATTTAATTATTAGAAAAAGAAGACGGTTCGTTGTACTGTTCTCGAAAATAAATCTCGTCTGAATTCAGGTCCCCCCCCCCCTTTTAAGATTCTCCCCCGCGGGCGGAAGCTTTTACGTTTCATTAAATCATTAGAGAAACAAAACGATTCGTTGTACAGTTCTCGAAAATAATTCTCGTCTGAATTTAATTTTTCCCCTCTCGCGCGAAGCGCGAAATTTTTTAGGATTTATTAAATTATTAGAGAAAGAAGACGATTCAATGTAGAGTTCTCGACTCTAAATTTTCGTCTGAATTCAGGTTCCCCCCTTTTAAGTTTCCTTAAATCATTAGAGAGAAAAGACTATTCGTTGTACCGTTTTCGAAAATAATCCTCGTCTGAATTTAGATTCTCCCCCTCCCCCCCCCCCTCCCGCGCGAAGCGCGGAAGCTTTTACGTTTCATTCAATCATCAGAGAAAGAAGACGATTCGTTGTACCGTTCTCGACTCTTAATCCTTGTTTAGATTCAGTTCCCCCCCCCCCCCCCCTCTCCCCCTCCTGCGCGAAGCGCGGAAGCTTTGACGTTTCATTAAACTATAAAAGAAAGAAGGCGATTCGTTGTACCGTTCTCGAATATTAATCCTCTTCTGAATTCAGTTCCCCCCTCCCCCCCCCCCCTCAGCGCGAAGCGCGGAAGCTTATACGTTGCATTAAATCATTAGAGAAAGAAGACAATTCGCTGTACAGTTCTCGACTCTTAATCCTCGTCTGAATTCAGGTCCCCCCTCCCCCTTCTCGCGCGAAGCGCGGAAGTTTTTAAGTTTCATAAGATTATGAGAGAAAAAAGACGATTGGCTGAACAGTTCTCGACTCTTAATCCTCGTCTGAATTCAGGATCCCCCCCCCCCCTCCCACGCGAAGCGCGGAAGCTTTTAAGTTTTCCGTAAATCATTAGAAAAAAAAGACGATTCGTTGTACTTTTTCGAAAATAATCCTCGTCTGAATTTAGATTCTCCCCCCTCCCGCGCAAAGCGCGGAAGCTTTTACGTTTCATTAAATCATTAGAGAAACAAGACGATTTTTTGTACAGTTCTCGACTCTTAATCCTCGTCTGAATTTAGTTTACCCGCTCCCCCTTACTGCGCGAAGCGCGGAAGCTTTGACGTTTCATTGCTCTCATTCTATTTTATTTCTCTTTAATATACTTTTTCAAAAAAAGTGTGGGGGAGGGGGGGGGAAGCTCGAGGCTCCCGATCCCCGCCGTACCTCGGGCCCTGACATGTAGGAATCTCAAGAATCATATTTCTTGCCTGGCTGCAAATTTAGGAATCTGCATTTTCCAACAAACACATACAAACGTATTATTTACTAAAAAGTGAGGAAAAATCTCGGAAATGATCTCATTTCAGCATTATTTGTAATCCACCGTTGTGGAATTAGAAATAAACCACGTTTGAATTTGATTTCCACTAAGCCCCCCCCCCCCCTATCAGTACGCCAGTATCTCCTCTTTTCCTTTCCCTTTCCTTCCTTCTCTCTTATTTGTTTTATGGGGGGGGGGGGGGTCAACAGCCTGGGAGGCAAAGCCCTTTCGGCCCCCGATCTCCTTCTTCCCCCTTTTCTTTTCTTCTTTCTCTTCTTTCTTTCCCTTTCTCTCCTCTTTCCCTTTCGCTTCTTTTCCTTTTTTCTCTTTTTTTTTTTTTTTGCGGGGGGGGGGGGCCAAGGCCCGCTCGCCCCCCCCCCCTGGATCCGCGCCTGGAATGGGCATCAGTGGCGGATCCAGGAATTTCTTACGGGGGGCACAAAATGGCATGGGGTGAAATATATGTAAAACGATGAACAACAGAACGAGGCTTTAACGGCGAGGGAGCGGAGTGACCAAGCAGGGGGTGGGTCTGGGAGGGGGTTCTGGCACTCTCCCAGTGTAAGAAGCATTTGCAATTTTAGAATCAAATTAGATGCATTTTTCAGGCATATATGACGTAAAATTGCTTTCTCCTACCCCTTCCAAGAGTAGGAATCTTTTGCAATTTGAGAACTACATTTGGCGCAATAATGTCCACCGACACTTCATGGAAAAAAAGAGGCCCTCTGATTAGTTAGAAGTTAGAAAAAAGTGATCTGTCACGTCGTGAGACGTTGTATAAATTATGCTTTGATGCCGCACAATGCACAAAGACGGTGGGCCGGTACTTCATCAGTAGTACTTGCAAAAATTATCTCGAGTGTATAAACTGTGTCGTTATCAGGGGAGTCGCTAGATCTTTTTCAGTGGGGGAAGGGGGGGGGGAGGGTGTAGAGGCCGCCGATTAACGACAAAACGAGCCACCAATATTATTACCGACAAATATAAAAATGCCAATGTCCAAATGTCTACAAATTTAAGCCTTTAAATCCGGGGCCAGGAACTAAGTTATTTTTTTAGTTTTCACCTCCCGCGCAAAGCGCGGAAGCTTTGACACTTCATTAAATTATTAGAGAAAGAAGACGATCCGTTGTACTGTTCTTGACTCTTAAAGCTTGTTTCGCCCCTCCCGCGCAAAGCGCGGAAGCTATGACATTTAATTTAATTATTAGAGAAAGAAGACGATTCATTGTACCGGTCCCGAGTCTTCATCCTTGTCTGAATTCAGTTCCCCCCCTCCCGCGCTAAGCGCGGAAGCTTTGATGTTTCAATTCATTATTACTCTTAATCCTTGTCTGAATTCATTTTTCGCTCGTCCCGCGCGAAGCGCTGAAGCTTTCCCGTTTTATTAAATTATTAGAGAAAGAAGACGATTCGTTGTATCGTGTTCTTGTCTGAATTCAGTTTCCCCCCTCCCGCGCGAAGCGCGGGAGCCTTGACACTTCATTAAACTATTAGAGAAAGAAGACGATCCGTTGTAATGTTCTCGATTCTTAATTCTTGTGTCTCCCCTCCTGCGCGGAAGCTATGACGTTTTATTTAATTATCAGAGAAAGAAGACGATTCATTGTACCGTTCTCTACTCTTAATCTTGTCTGAATTCAATTCCCCCCACTGGGCCCCTTAACGGTATATGTGCAGTGTTACATGATATAAGTATGGAACGCTCGTTCGCAAATCTGTGCATGCTCAACCCGAGTGGTGGGTAGCATGTTATCTCCCGACAGTGCTTTGCACAGTAGCTTCTGGAAAGGAATTAGTGTTACTGTTAGTGGCCATTATAAGGCCCTTAGTGACTATAAAAAAACATATGCTCTTCCTGGCTATTTGGGAATGGGTCAGTTTGCAAGAAATAATGGAGAAACTATAGCATTTTGTTGAAAATCATGTGATATCACGAACATTTATACATTACTTGTGAAAATAAGTCATGGTTCAATTTTATTTGGGGGGGGGGGGCTGGCGCCCCCCCCCCCCTAGCCCCCCCACCAGTACGCCAGTGTATATATGTATTATGAAAATGAGAGAGCAAAATGTGTATATTGATGGTCATCTTGCGAGTAATAACCATTAACTACTCTCATCGGGCTCTAATCATTAATTTTTCTGTTCATTTTTATTTTATTTTTTATGGTAATTTATTGGGGGGGATGATTGTACAGGCCACCCCCCCCCCACCTGAAATATTGGGGGGATATATCCCCCCCCCCCATCCCCCCCCCCCCCCGGGATCGACACCCATGTTCTCAATTGATTTCAAGATGTTTGAAATCAGGTATAAAATATACATTATGTTTCGATGAAATGTTTCATTTCATGTACTATAGTTCTTATTGTACATTAAATAAATTCCTGTGATTCCTAATAACATTTATCCCGGACACAATTTGTATTTTTCTTTGTTTTTTCACGAAAATAGGTAATATTGAAGAAGAAAAATGCATCGAAGATATTATATTTCAATTTTCCAGTTTGGTTATTTACTTGTAACATCCATTCATACATCCTTAAATCAAGTTTTCAAATGTGGTGGACTCAGGATGATCTGGCAGTGGGGGCACAAGTCTGCAAATTCTCTTACAAGCAAGAAAAAATTGAATGGGGGGGGGGGGGAAAGGGTCATTATCTTTAAGTTATGCTCATTATTTTCTATTTTTCTGCCTTTTGTCGGGGAAAGGGAGTGTCTAGGAGCACATGCCCATACCCCCCCCCCCCCCCCCCCCACCCGGCCCCTGGATCTGCCACTGACGTCTATCTAGTGATCATGCATGACGATATGTAGCGATTTATTTATCTTTACCTGCTTTAAACCTGTTCCCTTAAGCTATCCTGGGTCAAAGTCCAGAGTACAAGCCAGACAAGTGGAATTACATTTATTTCATTTCATTTGTTTTCTTTTCTTCAATAGCGAGTCTGGAATGCTAACATAGGTAATATTTATGGAGTGTTCCAACGTTTAGACACTTTACAAAGAACCAAGTTTGATCTCACGATGAGAGTCACAAGATTTATCTTTTTCATTTCAAAATGATATTTTTGTCGTCATTAAACGAATTGTAAACGCAAGAGGGCCTTATTTATTGATTTTTTTTTCTTAAATGAAAAATAAAATCTCCAAAACAAAAAAACTCCAAGAGAAAGCAGTAGTAAATGATGTAATGTATTGCAAAGTCATTAATCTGGCATGACCTGTGCCTTTTCTCCACTGTATTGTTTTTTGTATTCTTTGTTGATTATAACTATTAAAGTGATATAGAAAAGAGCAGGGTTTACCTCAATCTATAAATATTAATTATTACAACTCTGAGAAGTAAAACAGATTTCCCAGGATACATCTGAAACACTTAATATGCTGAGAGCCAGAAGGGCATTCATTTTGTGTAAAATATAAATGAGACGACGCCCCCTGGCTCCAGGCAATAATTATACAAACAGGACACTTCAGTATACATGTATAAAATAGAAAACAAACAATAGAACAAACAAAACAAAAAAAGGCAAATTATATTTTAAAAACATTTGTACAAGCAGAATGTATTTATTGTTTGATTTTTTTCCTCACATTATTGACATGGTCACCAAGAGCAATATTGTAAAAACAATTCCTCATTTTGATTAATCCAAGAAAATGACATTTATAAATAATCTAATTTAAAGACACCTTCCATGCCCCCCTCTCTGACCCTTTGTCATACTTTACCATGACACTGTGATAACGTAGTACATTTCTAATTAAACATTCATTTGGTCTTTCTTCAGCAAACACTACTCACGCCACATTACCAAAGGTTCTTGCAATTTAAAAAAGCCTTGGTCAGACATGACAAAGCAAACCACCTCCCCCCAAAAAATAGAAAAGATATCTTAAAAAACGATTGAAAACAGTGACAATATAACATTATAAAAGCATAGTACACATCAAATGTCTGTCTGTAAAGAATGAGTGCTACGCTTTTAAAACACCAGACTTTAATACGCATTCAAGAAAAGGATTCAGATTCCTGTAAGTTTCATGCTGTGATCATATAATGGAATCACAACTGACACAAAAATAAGTCTTTTCAATTCTTTCTTGCATGCCATGAAAATTGATGTTCTGAACAATTCAAGACATTCATGTCCCTCAAGTTTTCAGTTATACAGTATTTCTTGGTTTTGTTTGTTTAATCATTTACATTTCCAGAAAATTTATTTCTCTTTTAAATACTTTCCAGGTAAATGCTTTTGAAAAAAAATTCTTCAGATTAAATGATTATCTGCCCCATTCAGACACGACATGGTGGAGTGCCTCAAAATAATGCAGCTACAAAGTAAAAATTTAAAAATGGGAGAGAAATTATCATGGAGGAAACACTTGGTCTGTAGTCTTTATTTTTAAATAATCTATCATAATAAAAAGTACAAAAGAACAACAAAAACACTTAGAATTGTCTCAAACATTCATAAATAGCAATATACCCTACCTCTTTCTACAGCCTGATCCACATTTCATACATAACAGTAACTGTAACTATATTCAGGATTAAAAGCCCTACTATTTTTTTTTGAGGGCGGGGGTAATTGTGAAAGTTCTCTTTTCACCCAACCAAAGGCCACCTCTCCAATATCTTGCCAGTATTTTCTTCTGAAGTAGATTAATACACAATTATGCAACATTTCATGAAGAAAAAGAAAACAAATAGTAGGGCTTCTAGTTATATCTGTAGTTATTTTAAATATGGGCCTACCATGTGGTGTGAGAATCAGTAACCTATATTTCAAGAATAGAACACAAATGAAGATGGGACGTAGATTGGCATTCATGTTTCCAAACTCCTATAAAGATCAGTCGTTAGTGCTTTGCAAGAAATGTTTAACACATGGACGACATTTCCAACCATCAGAGGAGACACTGATAAAAACTTTAACAAGATTTGATATTCCTACAAAAGTGCTGATAACGAATTACAGTGTAGTTTAACATTCTATCATTTAAATAACAAAATAACAAAATACTTCCCTCTTTGTCATTTTTTGCATTTTACATAGTAAACATTGCAAGATTATTTTATTTAAAACTTCACCAGTCTGTTTCTCTGGTTCTTCTATAGTAGTTTGTTATCAAAGTTGGGTTCCCCGTTGAAGTTGTGGAGAAATACAAAGAGGAACAGATCATTTTCAATCGGATCACAGCTACAAGACTACAATAATGGCACACCAAGTTGAAAGAGGGGTATAAGAGAGAGAGAGAGAGGGAGAGAGAGAGAGAGAGTGCCAGGGGTGTTTTAGAATACTTGTACCTCAAGCATGTGTGTGCTTATACACAGCCACTCTGTCTAAACATTAATGATTCTAATAACATTGAAAAATCATCCCATTTCTATACTCTTGAACACATATGAAGATGGGACGTAGATTGGCATTCATGTTTCCAAACTCCTATAAAGATCAGTCTTTAGTGCCTGGCGAGAAATGTTGAACACATGGATGACATTTTCAACCGTCAAGGCTGACATCCTTGCAGTAGTGACCAATTCATACTTAGAGCATGACTAGTGAATTGCAGTAGATGTGACGATTGTCAAACGACAGCTATGATACATGCATGCATCACAGGCACATCTCTGATTAATAACATAAGATGAAGTCTGCAAATGATGTCATACCATCACAAGAACTGGGGTATTCCCCTGGCTCTAAGCATAGACCTGCAGTAGTGACCAATTCACACTTAGAGTATGACTAGTGAATTGCAGTAGATGTGACGATTGTAAAACCACAGATGTGATACATGCATGCATCACTGGCACATCTCTGATTAATAACATAAGATGAAGACTGCAAATGAAGTCATACCATCACGAGAACTGGGGTATTCCCCTGGCTTTAAGAATAGACCTATAGCAGGGCCCGATATCAACCAGGCTGTGGTAAACTAGATGGATCCCATACTCTCTTCAGTCACATGTCACTAAATGAAGAGGGGTGCATGCACTCGTAGTAGGGACTTTTAGATTTGCACGACGGAGAACGTGGACTGCCCTTTTAAGGCAATGTGACGTCACTGCCAGTGCCTTAAAAGAACGCCACATTGCCTTAAAAGGGCAGTCCACGTTCTGCCTCGTGTAAATCTAAGTCCCTAATAGTTTGCTGTGGATGACCCTCGAGACAGAGACCTCAGTGTTGAGCCAAGCCAATCAGCATCCATGAGTAGCTTTAAAATACAGAAGAGATTCCTGTGAATGGTGATCTAACTACAGTCAAACCTGTCTATAGCGACCGCCCAAGGGAACACAAACAGTGGTCTTTGTAGACAGGTTCCTTTAGTACATGTTTCAGTGAGAAACCATTTTCAAGGGTAGCAAAAAATGTGGTCCTTGTAGACAAGTAGTCCTTGTAGACAGGTGGCATTGTAGACAGGTGGTCACTAAAGCAGGTTTGGCTGTACATACTAGCGATTAGAGTTCAGTGTATATACATCTAGCCTTCTATGAGGTTAATCCCCTAGTAGTATCGACCCCTTCCTCGTCCTCTGGTGCGTCCGTAGCCTCCTCGTCCCTGCTGGTTCTGGTAGCCCTGCATGCCTCCTATTTAAAATAAAAACAACAACAGACAAAATATTTAAGGTAAAGACTGGTAGTGGTAAAATTGCGGTTCAAGGGTTTTGGGTGCAAAATAGTCATTCAATATTGTTTAAATGTTGCCTTCAGAGGTTTAGATGGCAATAATTAAAACCTAAATTTGCACACACAAAAAACAGGAATATATCCCCAAATGTTCAATGCAGGACTATCTGATCATGTATTAACTGTACATACAAGGAACTCAAGGTACTGTGCATTGTGAATACAAAACCAGCTGGCCTTGCACAGCTAAGGTACGCTTGAACATTACAGCAGAACATTCTTTAAAAGAGACATACGCTGGCATAATTTAGGTTTTAAATCAAAGCGGGAAAAGGAGGGACAAGGGAATGTTCAGGAATGATGTGATAAAGTAAAGAAATTATCATTTTTGAGTTGTGGTCAACCAAACAGAAACTGGCAACTCGATGATTATCAAGATCGTTAATAGTATATGAAAAGTAGACGGGTGGATACTCACAACTCTACCTAAACAAACATAACAATATAGTGGCTCACAAAAAGAGGAACCAAATATTCATCCATTTGACAAAGGTTTTCATTCTCACTTTGTCTTCCCTTTCCCCCTACCAATCCCTCACCCTCATGGATACATTCACATCACTTTATTTTAATTTGACTATTTCTTTTTCATTAAATTTCTTTCGTATTTCCCCCAAAGTCACAAATATTTCTCTACAGTTCCACATACATGATTTGCTGTTGGTACCAAATCTGCTACAGTCCCATATATATGCTATTTTGTTATGCATCAAAGTACACCTGACTCACCGTAGTTATCTCCATAGTTAGCATCACCGCCTCCAGGAGCTGAGCCTGCCTTCTGACTGTACTTGCCACCAGGGGGTGCATACATACCCCTGTTACTCCTCTTCTGCCCCCCTCCACCACCCCTATTCTGCCCCCCTCCACCACCCCTATTTTGGCTCTTCTTCTTGGCTGGGGCAACTCCCTCGGGGAACGAGATGGGGGTGATGTTGCTCCTCTTTTGTCTGATGAAACAGGAAGGAGGAACGCAAAGAGCACATTACAAAACACATCATACTTGTAATTAAGGTGTATTTGTTCTTATGGATGAGTCATGAGATGATTTGTTTTAGAGCAAGGAAAAAAGGACAAATCAATAATTTATAATAAAATCAAGTGCTGTTTACTGGGTAAGCTTATTACCTTTATAGGCTTATCGACTGTTACAGGTCTTAAGGCATTTAGAATGAAACCTCATCTGCTGCTTTAGATGACCTTCCTTCCACTTCATAATGCGTTCTTTGTTATGTACATTAGCATTCGTATCACCTAATTTGTCAAGTGACAAATCAAAGTCTAGTTTAATTTAATTTTTGATTAAGGAACTTTACATAACTATCTTGATCTAAGGAGACAAGAACCAGCGAACGAGGTAATGGTTATCAAACTTTGCAAGTAAATGGCATCGTATGATTGGCTGCGCACGGGTCATGGTTTGAGATATCAATGTTTGCACTAACAACCCTTAAATGGTTCTCAACCAGACAAGTAGGCCGCCACTCTGTGAATTGTTTATCTATATATATTTATATATAGAGATATATATTTTAAAACAAATTATGTTGATATATTTACTTCATATATTTTTTTTCTTCATTTGGAAGAATCTTCACGTGGATTTTAAAGATAATTAACAACAACATTATTTTGAAAAGGTCTATGTCGACATATTTGTTTGTACACCTAAAATACTAATGGCCCTGGCTCGGTTGTCGCATAGCTGGTAGAAGAGAGATAGTTCTGTCACGAGCTTGTCACAAGTATTTTCTTACCCTGCTAGCTATGGAATTTGTCGACATCTGCGCTAAGGTGGCCTTCATAGGCTTAGTGATTGGTAAAGGCCTTAACGCATTAACAAAAAAAAATCATCTGCTGCTTTAGTCTAGATGATTTTTCTTCCGATTTATAATGAAGACGTATTATGGCCAACTCAGCACAACAGTATTAAACACAGTCATGATATAAAATCTACTGTGTGACGTTGTCAATATCAATATTTAACCATACACAAACTTGAAATTGATAAGTGATATCAGGAATAATTATTTTAATTTGCACTATGTTCATGATTTGAAATATGTAACTAGTGGCACTGACACCCCGTTGATGTTTATCATACTCAGACACGTCATGCACGTATAGGCCGTTACTATCTGAAACCTCTTGTTATTTTCCGAAATTGTTTTAAGACAAGGAGTACGGACATGTTTCTTCTATGTGGATTAGTCTCGGGACAAGAAACAATTTTGGATTATTTCATAGGCAGTAAAGTCAGCAGGTAAATGCAAGGTAAGCCTCTAGGTTACCTAGACGAAAGTATGTGTATGTACAATAATCTGTTTTCTGTATAAATGAGATGAAAATGATTAGAAGGCCAATCCGACCGAGGAAAACCGATTACAGGCGAATACTCGGAAATAATAACTATATATGTGACCCGCTACGGCAAAACCCGACGCTTCTCGGCAAATCCCATTGTGTTGTAGGCCCGTTTGAACATGAAATTTCGAATTTAGGGATCAACTGAGATTTTTGCATGGTCAGAAAGTCTATTTTTTATAAATTGATTTAGAGAAAAAATGAACTCAAAAGACGATCTAGAAGTATTTTTAATTATATTTTGTATCTAATCATGTGCTCCATTGTCCAGTGAAATTAGTTGAAACAATGCGGTCAAAAGAGGGGAAAGTTCGCGATTCATCGCTTGTTGTTTTCCCTCTCAGTTTATCATGTTTGAGTCGATCCCTGACGTACTTGGTACGAAAATAACGAGAAAGGATCGGTTATTCCAAATATGGTTATATTGGGCGGTCCTAAATAAAATTGCCCAATGAAAAATGCCATAAAAGATGACATCATTTCGATAAGCTGTCAAGCAGGCCGTAAACAAAAGCCCGTTGCCAGCCACGTGATCCAAATCCAGACACTTGATTCGCCAATATTCGCACATGACGTCATTGCCTTGTTGTTGTGATTGTTCAGCGGTCAAATTCTCGCATCGAAACACCAGCTTTTTCTTCGAAAACTTGTTCAGAAGTTTGTTTTTAATGAGCTAGAGTTTCATATATCAAGTGAAATACGTGTATTCGTCGAGTGGCTAGTACAATGTCGAGGAAAAAGAGGAATTTAACGGATAAAACCGTCGCTTCTTTGTTGAATGATGCATCGGCGTGCGGTATGGACGTGCATGGCTTGACCGAACACTTGGCTGACTACTTCGCGAACCCGACCGAGCCCCTGGCCGCGGGCGAGAGAGGAACTCCTTCTTCTCCTAGGCCTAGCTCCGACTCTGAATCTGGTAGGTTTATTAATATTATCATTATTAAAAAGGTAATCAAGTTACTTAATTAGGTCTACGCCCATATTATTTATTAAAGACTTGTTTCGAGAAAAAAATGTTCGAGCAACAAAAGCTAGATTACTTTATTTTAAGTGCACTAATTAAAATTTATAATTAAATTAGATTATGATTTATGAAGCTTCTCATACCGATAAAAAAAATCTCTGCGGAGTCTAGACTTCTTGTTGATATTAGTTTTTGAATCTCTATTTTATAATTGTACTTAACAGAGTCTGATGAGTTCGAGGAGGCAGGTCCAGGACCAGCAGAGCCTTGTGAAAGCCGCGATGAAAGCGGCGATGAAAGCGGCGATGAAAGCGATTGGGTCGATGAGGCAGAGGAGCCTATGGATTTGTCAAGTGACAATGAAAGCGTCATACGGAGACCGGGTCCTGTCATTGATGACGTGGAGGAGGAGGCGGCAGCGGCTACAAATCTGGCCCAACAAATAGATCTTGATCTGGAACCGCTGAAGGATCGCGTGAATAAATGCAACTGCCGTATCTTCAATGGAAGACGCTGTATAGAACAATTCTCTGTAGCCGAACAAGAGTCCATAAGGTATGATTGGATCTGTCACTATTTACTCCTATTTCTTTAAAATAATGTCTAAGGACTGGATGTTTATGTACAAGCTGCAGTTTAATGCAAAATATAGTTACATTTATTCTAAGCTAATTAGATTTTCTCCTTTTTTGCAGCATTAATCAGTAGACCCTGAATATGTATGCTTTTATAAAATACTTCACCACTAAACTGCAGTCTACTGGTATCTTATGAAGAAAAAAATACAACAAGTTGGACATTTGGTTTTCTTATTATCATTATTATCATTGGAAGTAGATACTAGTAGCATTATTATTTTTCATTTCTATTTTGCCATTTCAGATATTCAACCAATGAGCTCACGGAGTTCGAAAAGGATTTACTTCTCCTGGGTATCATTTCGTCTTCCATCAATGATGGAAATATGACCCAGGGGAAGAAATCTAAGCCAACGGAGAGGAAAAACACAAGGATGCGGAATTTTTGCTATGGGCAGAAACGGATCTGTAGATATACGTTTTTCTACTTGATGGAGATTGGGCCACAGAAGTTTACGAATCTCAAGAAGTGGTATGCCAGCAATGGACTCATCCCAAGGAGAAAGAAGTCAGGTGAGGTGGTTTTCTTATCCTTTCACAGATGATGAAATTTATAATGAAGTTAACATTATTTTAATTACATTTATATTGAATTATTATTATCTTCAGGTGTGACTTCATAATAATTTGTATTATCATTTTGTGATGCATTTAGTCATAGTAAATCTACCAAAGGTTAATTGCGATGGTTTTTTTGACAGTTATTTTCACTACAACTGGACTCAAAACTTGACATCTAATCCCTCTACTTACTGTTTCAATCTATTCCGACACAATACTGATCATAATAAATCTTACTTTTGTTCAATATTTGTTCATTGTTTTCCAGGAGGACGGAGAGGCAAGAAACTTCTCAAGCTAGAGCAGGTAGAGGCGGTCGTCAAATTTATTTTGAATTTCACCGCAGAACACTGCATTCACCTACCAGGCAGGATACCAGGGTTCAAATCGGCTGATGTGAAACTGCTGCCGTCCTACGTCACCAAGGCGCATCTGTGGAGGCTCTACAGAGATGCTGCTCCAGAGCATGGACCCGTAGCTGAGTCTACCTTCCGAAAGCTGTGGAGCGACCTTCTCTCCTATGTGGTTGTTGCCAAGCCGGCCACGGATCTCTGCTGGACATGTCAGCAGAACAACAACCTTATCACCAGACAGGTGTGTGTTGGCTAAATACCGATTGTTTTAAATTTCATTTTGTTTTACGCTGCTCCCCCCAATTCTAAGCTTGATGCATATCAGCACTTAACATCAGCACTAAATTATCGGTGTTTGGCCACTGCCATATGTTTCTATTTGTAAAGGTTTTTGTTAGATTGACATTAACAATGTCTATCCTATGTACATACTATTGATCTCTTCGGCTGTGAATTTTGTATGAAACGAGATAACTCAAAAGATTCAAAACTGTACATCATTAATTCTTGGGCACTAATGCATAATAGTTCATTATTAGTGTAGTCACTAGTCAGATTGCATTTTTTATGGGATTCGTTATTGTTTTTTCTTTACGTTGATAATGAAAGAATATAATTATTTTATATCTGATACTGATTGACTGAAATTGATATTTTTGCATTATTAATCTCTATCTCAAGAAGACAATAGTTCTGTCAAATTGTCTCAACTGTTACTTTATTGTACATTCCTTAATGTACCAGGATATTTTTTACAATACATGTATTATAGGTTATCTGTTGTCGAGTGACTTATAAGTTTTTTTTTGTTTTTTGTTTAATCTCAAATAGCCTTGATTACGACTAATGCTTTTTATCATAGCTTTTATTAAATATGACAAAATATAAATCATTTTGAACTCGCTTCTTGTGTTCCAGTAATTATCATTTAAAAAACAGATTCTGTCGGGTTTCAAGTTCAACGCAATTTGTTATTTCACTTTATTGCAATCTTTTTTTTAATATATTTAAAAAAAAAATCATTTTTATTACATCTGGTTTTGTAATAGGCCTATTATTAAGCATAAATTTTAAGAAAATGCATTATTACATTTTATTATTGCAACATTGATGTAACCTGCTATTATTTTGTGTACGAGAACAATTTTGTACTGATGAAACATAATAAACCGTGGAATCGTTTTCCCAGCAACTTTGCCTAGTATAACAAAAACTTTGAAATTCTTTTGTTTTCTATTGTTTTTAAAAATTATCATAACTTTATTAATATTTATTCAAATCTAATGGTTTTAACAGAAATGTAAGTTGGGTATGTGTCAAGTATGCCTGAAAAATTACAAGACTTTAGCTTGTTTGGTTGATGCCGTTGCTATGGAGTGAATGTGTGCATGTTTTTTGTGTGAAAATTGAACCAAATTCTTAACTTTAAACCTCAATATCTCATAATTAACTTCCGGTGATTGAAATCACAAAAATGACAATAACTTTGTCAAATTTGAATCAATTTCTTTAAATGAGGTATCATATTAAAGGTCATACCTTACTCTTTCCAATGACACCAAGAACTCAATTTTCATTTTTACCATGAAGTGTTGGGTTTTGCCATAGCAGGTCACATATGAACACATTGTTCATTGGGTGGTGGTGTGAACAAAAGGCACTAGGAAATTAATGCTGTTAATACATTTATTTTATATATTTCTCATTTGGAAGGATCTTTACCTGACTTATCCTACAAGGCTTTTGAAGATAATTTAACCATAACATTATTTTCCCAAAGTCAATGTCGACACTAGCTTGACTTTAACAGATTTCCCCCATTTTTCACGTACCCCCTTTTTTCACGTACCTATTTTAATCTTTTTACCATGCTTGTATTGAATTTATAGGAATTTTTTAAACAATTACAGCTGTATTTCTGGAAACTTGTGCAATGTGTTTATGGATTTTAGTTACAGAATCTAAGTCTTATTTTTGATATTGCTAGTTTTGTACATGTATATATTTAAAAGTGTTATCTATTGTGCCGAACATGTAAACATGAATATTCCAGCCATGGCTGTCCTTCATGTAAAATTGTATTTGTATGAACCATGTTTGTGCTATAATAAAAAAAAAATTTGAATTGAATTGAATTGAATGAACACTGAGTCGCATTAAATGTTGAACACGCTCTATTCACTAACCGTTATTCGCTGTTTCTTAGTATTTGCTTGTCCTCGGGTTTCCGAAATTGCGTCTGATTTGAGATGTAGACAGATTTTTCAAGATATAGGTGGTATCACTATAAAGGGTTATAGATGGAAGGGGCCCTTCCAAATAGCGGTGAGAAAATTCGTTTACAGTTACAAGTCCCTCATCTAATGTAGGCATAATCTAATTTCTAATGTACTTCATTAAAAAAAAAAATCTTAAATATAAAAGAATGTTATATAAGTACGTAATGTACATAGGCCTACTTTATTATGTCTGATTTGTGGATCAAAACATCAGATTAGAATAAAAAGTGGTACAAAATCGGCTCAATCCCCCCCCCCCCCCCCCCCCCCCCCCCCCGTTGTGCGAGCCGTATGAGTTACTGTCTGTGTATGGGGAATGTTGACAAATGTCAGTTTTATCAAAGAATGACCCATACCAGATCGTTGTTCCTGTCTAGAGAGAGACATTTGAGATAGCCAGTCGGAACACGCGCGTATCCAAAGTATTTTTTTTAAAAACTACTAGATATGAATTTTGTCAGCATTTTTGCTTGCGTATTCGCTTATTACCTTTATAGGCTTATCGACTGTTACAGGTCTTAAGGCATTTCGAATGTAACCTCATCTGCTGCTTTAGATGACCTTCCTTCCACTTCATAATGCGTTCTTCGTTATGTACATTATCATACGTATCACCTAATTTGTCAAGTGACAAATTAAAGTCTAGTTTAATTTAATTTTAATTAAGGAACTTTACATAACTATCTCAATCTAAGTATTTTTTTAAAAACTACTAGATATGAATTTTGTCAGCATTTTTGCTTGCGTATTCGCTTATTACCTTTATAGGCTTATCGACTGTTACAGGTCTTAAGGCATTTCGAATGTAACCTCATCTGCTGCTTTAGATGACCTTCCTTCCACTTCATAATGCGTTCTTCGTTATGTACATTATCATACGTATCACCTAATTTGTCAAGTGACAAATTAAAGTCTAGTTTAATTTAATTTTAATTAAGGAACTTTACATAACTATCTCAATCTAAGTATTTTTTTAAAAACTACTAGATATGAAATTTGTCAGCATTTTTGCTTGCGTATGCGCTTATTACCTTCACAGGCTCATCGACTGGTACACGTCTTAAAGGGATCCGGTAACTTTGTCTCAGATTCTGAAATAAAATTCTGGATTTAGCTCATGAAGCAATGATAATTATAAACCTTTATGTCAGTCAGGAACCCCATGACTTTTACAAGCTGATCGCCTGTCTGATTATCAAGATATTTATGATTGGAATTACAAATTTTGAAAACCGTTCACCTGACGGTTTTCATAACACTACAGTCTATTGGGGAAAACGAGTATGGTTTAACCGGTCACTCAAAGATTTTTACTTTTTTGAGGCACTTCTTGATCATTTTGAAAAAAATGATTAAAAGAAAAAAAAATGATTAAATGAAGCCCTAATTTTTTTTTAAGGGCTTCGATATTACACCATATCACAGACACTGATGACACGCAGGGCCGTGTATCTCAGATTTAACATTGTTAAACGATCCCTTTAAGGCATTTAGAATGAAACCTCATCTGCTGCTTTAGATGACCTTCCTTCCACTTCATAATGCGTTCTTTGTTATGTACATTAGCATACGTATCACCTAATTTGTCAAGTGACAAATTAAAGTCTAGTTTAATTTAATTTTAATTAAGGAACTTTACATAACTATCTCAATCTAAGAAGACACGAACAAACGAACGCGGTAATGGTTATCAAACTTTGCAAACAAATGGCATCGTATGATTGGCTGCGCACGGGTTATGGTTTGAGATATCAATATTGGCACTAACAACCCTTAAATGGTTATCAACCAGACAAGTAGGCCGCCACTCTGTGAATTGTTTATCTATATATATTCATATAATATAGATATATGTATTAAAACAAATTATGTATAGATATTCACTTCATATATTTTTTTTTCATTTGAAAGAATCTACACGTGGATTTTAAAGATAATCAACCGCAACATTATTTTGAAAAGGTCTTTGTCGACGTACTTGTTTGTATACCTAAAATAATAACGGCCGTGGCTCGGTTGTCGCATAGCTGGTAGAAGAGAGATAGTTCTGTCACGAGCTTGTCACAAGTATTGTCTTACCCTGCTAGCTATGGAATTTGTCGGCATCTGTGCTCGCGTATTGGCTAAGGTGGCCTTCATAGGCTTAACGATTGGTATAGGCCTTAACGCATTAACAAAAGGAAACCTCATCTGATTCTTTAGTGTAGATGATTCTTCTTCCGATTTATAATGAACACATATTATGGCCAACTCAGCACAACGGTAACACCGTCGTGATATAAAATCTACTATGAGACGTTGTCAATATCAATATTTAACCATATACAAACTTGAAATTGACAAGTGATATCAGTTAATAATTATTTTAATTTGCACTTTGGTCATGATTTGACATGTGTAACTAGTGGCACTGACATGCACCCCGTTGGTGTTTATCATACCCAGACACGTCATGCACGTAGGCCGTCACTATCTGAAACGTTTTGTTATTTTCCGAAATTGTACGGACAAGTCTTTTCTCTGTGGATTAGTCACGATACAAGAATCAATTTTGTGTTATTTCATAGGCAGTAAAGCCAACATGTGAATGCAAGGTAAGCCTCTACGTTACCTAGACGAAGGTATGTTTATGCACGAATAATCTGTTTTCTGTATAAATGAGATGAAAATGATTAGAAGGCCAATCAGACCGAGGAAAACCGATTACAGGCAAATACTCGTAAAATAATAACTATATATGAACACATCGTTCATTGCGTGGTGGTGTGAACAATAGGCACTAGGAAATTAATGCTGTTAATATATTTATTTCATATATTTCTCATCTGGAAGGATCTTTACCTGACTTATCCTACATGGCTTTTGAAGATAATTTAACCATAACATTATTTTCCAAAAGTCAATGTCGACACTAGGTTGACTTTAAAAAAATTCCCCCATTTTTCACATACCTCCTTTTTTCACGTACCTATTTTAATCTTTTTACCATGCTTGTATTGAATTTATAGGAAATTTTTAAACAATTACAGCTGTATTTCTGGAAACTTGTGCAATGTGTTTATGGATTTTAGTTACAGAATCTAAGTCTTAATTTGAGATTGCTAGTTTTTTACATGTATATATTTAAAAGTGTTATCTATTGTGCCGAACAAGTAAAAATGAATATTCCAGCCATGGCTGTCCTTCATGTAAAATTGTGTTTGTATGAACCATGTTTGTGCTATAATAAAAACCATTTTTGAATTGAATTGAATTGAATGAACACTGAGTTGCATTAAACGTTGAACACGCTCTATTCCCTCACCGTTATTCGCTGTTTCTGAGTATTTGCCTGCACCCGGGTTTCTGAAGTTGCGTCTTATTTGAGATGTAGACAGATTTGTTCAAGATATAGGTGGTATCGTTATAAAAGAATTGTATATAAGTACGAAATAAACATACTTTCTTATGTCTGATTTGTGAATCAGAAAATCAGATATAAATAAAAAGAGGTACAAAATCGGCTCAATATCCCCCCCCCCCTCCTCCCCACGTTGTGAGAGCCGTATGGGTTACCGTCTGTGTATGAGAAATGTTGACAAATGTCAGTTTTATCAAAGAATGGCCCATAGCAGATCGTTGTTTTTGTCTACACAGTTAAAATTTTTGTGAACAAGTTGTTTAAAAGTTTAAACAACTCTTGATTAACGGGTGACCTGATCTAAGAGTTGTTTAAAATGTTAAGCAACTCGAATTGTTTAAAGTTTAAACACTTAGTTGATCAACATTTTGAACAACTTGTTTAAAATCACAATTTAAACAACCGGTGTTGTTTAAAGACGGTTGTTTAAAACGGAGCTGTTGTTCAGTGGAGGTTGTTTACACCAACTGGGTTGTTTAAAGAAAGTTGTTTAAAAAGGAGCCGTTGTTCAGTGGGGGTTGTTTACACCAACTG